TATTGGTTCTCAGTATGTACCAAGTGTTGTTCTGGAAGTGGAAGTAGGAATAGGTAATGTTTCCTAGTCAACTTTCTCCAGTGGCTCTTTATTCTACAGGATACAATCCTATTCTTTTCTTAGTCCCTGGGCCATAGAGTTCTTGTGGTACTGCTCTTGCCTCCTGATTATAGCTTTGTCTTCAAAAGCAGGCCAGCTGGAGTGCAATCCAACTGCTTGTCATTCTGAAAGCATGATCAGCTCTGTTTCCTCCAATGTTTTCCCTTTGAAGATTCTGACCTTGTGTCTTCACCCCTGTCTGCTTCTTCATCAACACCTTGCTCTTCTATCTTGTTCTTCAGGAAATCCTCTGTGGTTTCTATGACATTCTGAAAAACCTTTTCTGAACTCATCACAAAGTTATAATTACTTAATTTATCTATGCTTCCCATCTGATTTGGACATGGAAAGAACCAGTACTATTTCGTTTTCATCTTTATTCCACTTCAGCTAGTAAGACACCTGTTGATTGACAGTTGCATACGGAAGTAGTAGATACATGGCAGGAACTCCATAAAGGATGTGTCTTTAATTCCTCATTGAAGAAGAATGGTAAAATGTCAGTACCACTAGGGGGCATAGAATTATAACAGAAATTTCCAGTATGCTAGCTCCTGGGAGATTTTTCACTTCTGTATCAACTTCATTCTTTCTAGCTATATGAATCTTGAAATAATGTAATGACTCCATTCAAATTACTTCCCAGAAGAAGTGTGCAAACAGTATCTAAAAGACAGAAACTAAGACTGGCATAGTAACATGCTATACTAGATTAACGAAGTATGCAGGGTTTCCAAAAGGAAACTGAAGCTAGTGTTAGGAAAAGGATAAAAATATAAATAGGATGTCAAAACATTAATATTGTGAGACTTACAGCTACTTTAAAATTCTCAATTAAAATATCTATATAGGGAGACTATCTTCACAGGAAGACTGAAGCTGCTTCTTGTTTTTAAATATAATCTGAATTTTGGTTTTAGAACACATACTTATATGGTTACTATTAAAACCAAATGAAATAATAATTTAAACTAGTTTTGGAACATCCTGAACCATATAATAAACATTTATAATTATTTTGCTTTGGCAGTGTTGATCAGGACAATATTTGGGAAGTTCTTAGAAAAAAAAGATAGTTTTTGGTATAAAAACAGCGAAACCTTTTGAAGCCCTACACCTCAGCTACCATACCAAGCACCTCTTGACTGCCACACATATGCTGTTGAAGCAAAACCATTATGCTCACCTCAAAGGGAATGCAGGCATAGAGTATCCTGGAGCCCAATATGAGATACCATGGCCCAGGAACACAGACTTAGGTGACTGCAAATACCATAGCAGCTTCATGAATACTTTTTAAAGGAATGGAGCAGAAAAAGCCATACATTAAGGCATTTAAAAACTATATCAGTGGAAATCTCAACTATTTCAGGAATATCAGCAAAGCAAGATCATTTCTGCCACAGGCCTCAGATGTCATCTGATAACATTCTTAACCTTTAGGATGGGGGAAGCTAAGGAGATTTTACCTGAGAGTCAAAAGGAAGTTATGTCAAACACAGAGGTTGTCAATAAATTACAACTGAGAGGGCTAAAGGCAGTCCAATCCAATAGACCTGCAACATTCCAGATCTCTACAATCAGAGAAGTTCCAGCCATCAGCCTTGTTGAATGTTGAACACAAGTGTGTCCTCTTTGCCAGAACTTTTTTTTCTCACCTCCTACATTCTTTCTGTACCTTCAGGTCAGACTGTTGGCAGGTAGTCATTTCTCATTACCAATGTAATGCAGGCCTCAGATTCCAATTATTAGAACCTCCAGCAGTCTGTCCTGCCTCAGATGGTCTCCGTGCTGTAGTTTCTGGTATCAGCTTATTGGAGAAACATCTTAACAAGTTTGTGTCATATCTCTTAGGAACAATTATTCTGGATTGACCAAAGGTGATACTTTGGTAAACCATCCTGGTATTTTTAATATGAGAAAATAAGTTTTTTGAGTCAGAAGTTATAATGATAAATATCTACAAAATGCATTATAGCTGCTATGATTATTGGCTTGATTACGTATTGCCACAAAGGAAATAAAAGCTAAGGAGATGAGTGATATAGTTTAAAAGGTATTCTGTTCAAAAGGTAGGGACTTCAGCTCTGCCTCTGGGCTTATTGTTATAACTAGGCTTTGTGCAAGTCACCAGTCATAGGTTTCCATTATATTCCGTTAGTAAGCTTACTTATAGTTGTAAGTTTGGCAACTTATTTTATCATTGCTACTCTCATTAGCTCAGGAATGTCATGCCAGACCAATGTATATCAGTATCCCTGTAGAGTGCTTCTGATCCCACACAAGCTGATCAGCAGATGTATGTGACTTTGATTGTGAGTCTATGCTGCATTGAAGGGTTAAGACAAAGAAAGGGTAAAAAGCTTGCCACAAAGAAGAAGAAAAGGGTGGGGGTGTAATGGAGTCTGTGCCCTTTGACTCAAGTCCATATCTTCATTTTTTTGCCTCCTTTTTCAGTTGCTAAAAGTCATGAGTGCATCTCTAGCCTTCATGGGACATTTCTAATGATATTCCAGGGTACTGTTCAGAAAGAAAATATAGTATGACAGAAAACACATTGAAATAAAATATTTTCTACTACTTCATTCAACTGAAAACATCTCTATACAGACTTCAGAGAATTTTGTTTCCACAGTCATAAATTTTAAGCAGGCATCGCAAGGGAATAGTTGAAAGCAAAACCTTATTTATTTATTTGTTTATTGTTTTGGCTTTTCAAAACAGGGTTTCTCTATGTAGCACCGATTGTCCTAGTACTCTCTCTATAGACCCGGCTGGCCTGGAACTCACAAAGATCTGCCTGTCTCTGCCTGCTGGGTGCTGAGATTAAATGTATGCGCCACCACCACCTGGTTAAAACAAAATCATGTTAAAGAATGAGAGACTGTCAATCAATTCACGTGCACAACACTAGGAATAAACACTTTTTTAAAAAAGTGATTCTCTGGACAGGCCTTTTGAGTCTTGAGTGTAATCAGAGCATCAGGACACAAGTAAGAGGATAATCACAGTTTAGAGGCCAGCCTAGGCTAAATAAGTAACTTCAGGACAGCATGGGCTACAGAGTGAAACCTGTCTCACAAAACCAATATAAGTAGAATTGTCATGTGCCTTTACCATTACCTCGTCATAATATTTTAATGCAATTATTATTCATGAAATATATGCTGTATTTTTATGCATGTCCCACTATGCCTGCTCTCAATACTGACACTTCAGCAAAAGAAAGAAATGGCAGTTTCCTAGCAACACCTGTATTCAAAGGAACAGCGACAACAATAAAAGCTTAATTACAAACACTTTATTTTCCTCCAAGTTCACTTTTGGCTATCGAGGGAAGTTACTGGATCGCAAAGAAAGCATGGCAAAGACCAAGACCATGAAAGAGGTCTCAACAGATCACTTAGTTATTTCTTCCTGGAAATGGAAAGACAGGATGATTACTAGTTAGAGTTTACACGTAGAACAGCCTGTTCCAGTAGTAGTAGGCAATGCTGTAGATACAGTCATGCCTGGTGCTGTTTGGTTCGTTTACTTGGAGCTGCAGAATGGGTATGGCAACTGGGAGCCAGGATACAGCGTTCCCAGGAGCTCATCCAGGAACTCCTAGTGGATCCACAGACAAGTCCCCTTCTCTGGGTTTGTGACTGAATGACACCTAGAAAAGATAGCTACAAACGTCTTCAACAGTCATAACCCTTACTAATCACAGCTGTCCCTGTCATCCTCCCAACCTGGTTTATTGGCATTTTTGGAATAGACATCCTAGGCTCCCTGGTATCATTCTTGTATCCCAGGAAAGCATCACTTAGATGTTAAGCAGCTGACTTCCTGGAGCTTTCAGAGGCGAGGGGCGCAGGGGAGGGGGAACGTGCTCTTGAGTCTTGTCTTTCAGCGATTTCCGGCCTGCATGTGGGGCTCAGTCCCCAGTGAGATGAAGGTGATCTAACCACAGTAGTAAAAGCTTACAGCAAAGAAAACAGCATCATTAAGGGGGAAGTGGCCTTTTCATTTTCCTATTTTCAGAAAAGCTAAGATTTTTCACGTTCGAAGCGTGCACACGAGTCATTTTAAGTCTCTGCATCTTTCACCCTGAAAGTCCCTGCACAGAAACTCCATGGGGAGTCTAAATATAGCTGCATCAAACTCTCCCCGCCTTCAGCCAGGGTCTCTGTGCAGCTCTAAGATTGGAGAGCTTATTCCAGGACGCTCTCTGCATTTGCCTTGAATAGCAGGGCGCGGAGCAATCTCTCTAGCACCTCCACGGTGTGTGGGTGTGAAGTGTATTAGGGGAAAGCAGGAGTGACTCTGGGTGCTGGTGCTTGGCTCACAGTCACGTGGTGTGGCTGCCAGCTGAACAGAGCTAGGAGTTAGTAGTGCCTACTGCCCGGAGCCTTTAACGGAAGCCAGGTCTTACTGACTCTAAGAGCCAGAGAGGGTCTTCCCAAAACAATAAAGATAAAAGTAAAAGTAAAACTTGTAGCTGACGTTATGACTGCAGAGAGCAGCTGTCCGCGGGCGTGGGTGTATGCACTGGGGGGGGGGGTGTTTAGTAGAGTATTATCTGCTATGTTTGAGACAACTAAGATGCGATTTTGCCTTAGCACTGTTTGATATTAAAGGAAGTGAAAAGGGCACGCAGAATAACCAACCACCTTGCTACTGTCTACCATGGCTTTCTGTCGAAAGCATAGTTCAATTGAACTTGGTGATTAATTTTTTTTTTTAATATTTGGGAGGAAGGCTGTTGTTTTGGAAGTAGTTCCCAAAGCTGGCATGCTCTCAGTTTCCCCAGTGCTGAATCTGTTGTTTAATTGCTAACAATGTTTTTTGAAAGCCAGAGTTCCCAGCCAGCAGCACCTTGGCTTCACTCTCAGCCAAGAGCGCGGATTTTGGGGCGCCCATCTGTCAGAGGTGGTAGGGGATCCAGTCAGCGGCTCCCCTTAACATGCCTCTAATCTTGTAAGTTACAACATCCTAGCTGAGAGGTAGGTCCTGGGCTCCCCACCCTCCAGGATCCCTGAACCACTCACTGGGGACGCCAGCGCCGCTGTGGATACCTAAGCAGTTTTATGACTTTCTCCCACTTAAATGGAAATTTCTTGAAGGAGAGATGTGGGCTCATTTTCCCAGACTTCTCTGTCAGGGGGAGACCCATGGCAGCTCCCTCATCGCAAAGGAGCCACTTTGGAGTTTTACTCCCTCCCCACACCCCATCCCTGGGGATGGGAAGGATGTTCTGTGACTCTCGGGCATGCTGTCTGAGGCTAGGATGGAAAGTCACAGCCTGCAGGCTGGATTGAGTCGCGGGAAGCCGCTGGCGGTCTCCGGGTGTGTCCATTGAACTGCGGAGGATTGGTCCTCAGCGCGGGAACCCAAGCGTCGAAGCATCGCCCCGAGGCTAGCCAGCACCTGGAGGGCAGGACCGAGCCGCTCCTGCCCACACTCATTGCAGGAGGATGGCAGGACCAGGAGCGGTATAGAAGGGAGAAACCCGGAGACCCGATCGGATCGTCCAGTTTGTTCATAGGGCACCAGGCGGACTTGACTCTCCGGACAGCTAGCTCCAAGCCTCAGGAAGAACAGACCGAAACTCAGGCCCGTGTTCTGCAGGGGGCAGACTGAGCTGACCCCGACTGGGTGTGCACTGGTGGAAGCGTGCTTTGGGGCATCCTGCACACCCCTAGCCCGGCCCGTGGACACTCTGGAGAGGAGGGAGTGGCAGCCGCGGGACTAAGGCAGAGCGAGGGTCACCTCTCAAAGTGACGCCCCCAACAGGTCCGGATTTGGAATCGGCAGAGGCAGAAATCCCGACCTCCCCGGCCTGCCTCGCACACCCCACCGCCCCCGCCCGGAGCCCCGGCACTGAGCTCGTCAGCCCCCCGGGGGACGCCCCGTCGGCTGCGGGCTTCCTCTTGCAGACCTGCCCGCGCACATGAGACCGTTGCCCCCGCCGCAGGCGCCGGCGCCCCCCTCGCGGTGCCGGTGGTGATGCCATGCCCCGCCACCACGCGGGAGGAGAGGAGGGCGGTGCCGCCGGGCTCTGGGTGAGGAGCGGCGCGGCGGCGGCGGCGGTGGCGGCGGGTGGGGGGCGCCCGGGCAGCGGCATGAAGGATGTGGAGTCCGGCCGCGGCAGGGTGCTGCTGAACTCGGCGGCCGCCAGGGGCGACGGCCTGCTGCTGCTCGGCACCCGCGCGGCGGCGCTCACTGGAGGTGGCGGCGGCCTGAGAGAGAGCCGCCGGGGCAAGCAGGGGGCCCGGATGAGCCTGCTGGGGAAGCCGCTCTCCTACACCAGCAGCCAGAGCTGTCGGCGCAACGTCAAGTACCGGCGGGTGCAGAACTATCTGTACAACGTGCTGGAGAGACCCCGCGGCTGGGCGTTCGTCTACCACGCGTTTGTGTGAGTACCCGCGTCCCTTTCCCCATGCGCCCCCAACCATGCCGGCTGATGGGGAGCCCCCACGCGCCTGACCCCCGGGGCGCGCGTGGAACCCGCGCCCTGGCTGGAGGCGCTGAAAGGCGCGCTCGTGCGCGCGCGCGTACACACACACACACACACACACACACACACACACACACACACACACACACACGTGGTGGTTTTTATTTCTTTGCACGTGTTTGCGATAGGCCCTCTGAAGCCCTCCATCTCTCTTGTCCCACCTCTAGAACTTGCTCAGGTTGAACCATTGTGCCCCAGAGTACACAAGGAACTGCCGGTCGGTTCCAGGTACCCGGGCAATTGAAGGCAGGAGTAGGATTCAGGCGACTCAGATAATCAGGAGTGATTAGGTCTTGACATGCGGAAACTTAACTGAGTGGGGCGCCCAGGAGCCGGGAAACGCTCTGGGAGGATGTTCACCAACCTGAGGCTGGAGAGTGTATAGGAGGAGGATGGCTGGGTGGGAAGGAGTGGAGGGTAGAAGGTGAAGGGTGGGTCCACAGCCAGCCTTAGGGTCCAGCACAGGAAGCTGCTACAAGGTGGAGAGAGAGACTAGCTTTTAAGCGCGCCCGCCCGGAAACACGCCTGGCCACCATCACAGCTGTCACCAACGGAAAATCTGTCAGTGCATGTAGTCCTTGCCTCAGACGTTGCCTGAGTCTAGGAGTGCTAGCAGGCCATACAATCTCCTCTCTCTCAGCTCAGTGGCAGCCACAAGTGGGGAACGGTTCAGGAACACGACCAAGGTGCCATGGCAGAGACTCAAGGAACAAGGAGTGGGTTCATTTGGCATTTGTGGCACTGAGACAAAGTGGTGTGTGTGTGTGTGTGTGTGTGTGTGTGTGTGTGTGTTAAGTAAGCCTAACCATCTAGCAGAAAATGTTTAATGAGAAAATGATTGGAAACAAATGTTTATTTTTCCCCCTAGGCATTAAAAACCTTTCAGTGGCTTTAAAATTTACTACTGTTTTTCCCACAACGTCCATTCATTCGATGTCCTGTTAGAGTTAGGTTTATCTGGATGATTTACAGTAATTTTTATGCCTTTACACCCTGTCTAATTTACAGTTTTTAAAGAATACTTGGTCTTCTTTTTGCCCCTAGTCTGCCCCTTCCTTCCTTATGTTAAAGTGAAATATATTAACCTTAGGAGAGCTTCAGAGAGAGTTGCAGGCACATAGTGACTGGTTCCTTGTTTCTTACTTAGTAAAATATGTTTGGAACACAAAAAATCCCTTCAGAAAAGAAGCATACCATCCTATACTTATCCCTTCCCTGGAATGAAGAATTGGCACCAACCCAGGAAACTTACAAAATAATAACCAGAGAGAAAGGACTGGATTTGTAAATAGGTGAACCTGAAATATGACCAGGTACAACTCAGGAAATTGGTGGAGTCTGCACTCTGGGGCCCTGGTGTCTGGAAATTTTTACAGTTCCAGATTGATGTGGACATGTAGGATTAGGTGGACTATTCCAGCCAGCTTTATATGTTTGCAAGACACTCACAGGGAATGTTGTAAAAAAAAGTGTAAGTTCTATCATTTGTTAATGGAAGAGTTACATAGATATGGATGCAATTAATGACAGAGAAACACCACTGACACTGGTTAAGCTCATCTCCTTGGATTGATAAGCAACCAATCTAGTACCTAATGAGTGTAATAAATTATTTTGACCTGTCAGAATATACTGAAAATTTTTAGCAATGATGAGGCTTAATTTGCAGTAAATATCCATGGTATGGATGATATTTTTAGAACATGCTCAAAGTATTCATGACTTGGAGTTTTAAATATGATGTAATGTATTGCACTTTCTTTGGCTAAAGTATTCATCCTGGATTCAGAGGGGATTTGACACAACCTCTGTTGTTGTACATGCCCATGTCGCCTAAGCCTTGTTTACAAATATGAATGAAAATGTCTCAAAATACTACATTTTCTTTTCTGGTTGTTAAGTCAGTTATTATGGACTTCTGGGGTTCTTACACTTTAACAAATGGGTTTTTAAAGGGTTCCAGCGGAAGGATTTGCCTGTTAACCAGCTTTATCAGTGAATCCAGTGGTAGATAGAACATAAATTATGAGCTTGTCAACACACTATTGCTAATGTAAAGTTCGTTCGAATGCTTCTGAGAGCCTGGAGGCTGCAGGATTGGAGCTGCACAGCTACATGGTGATGCAAGACCCACATCAGCACAAAATCGGAATGGATAGAGTCAGCCTCTGGAAAGATGGTAGAACAACCACCACAGAGCCTGGGGCGAAGAGGGGTAATCATTCCTTATGATTTTAAATGAGGTTTTGAATGGCAGGAATTTACACATTGAATTAATAAAGCAAGGGTACTTTGAGCTCTAAGTCTAATAAGACCATTACAGGAAACTATAAGAAAATAATTTCTAGAGAGGTGTAACTAACTAATGCCCTGCCAACCTGGGGATCCTCAAATCTTACTTTAATAACAGTTTTTGTAGCATATTAAGCTCTGTGCCAAAAACAAGTACACTGTGATTAATGAGGCACTTCAGGGATGAATTTACTTGGTTAGCCCAGTGTTTCCACTGCCAAGAAAGGAGAGGAGTATGTTTAATATTATGCTTCAGGTAAAGAGAGATTTCTGTTAGAATATGTAAAAATAATTATTACAATGATATTTTAATAGTCTAAAATGGGAACTTCTATGAGTATATATCCAAGACTACTGGTAAGGGTGCTGACAAGAACAGAGGTGACCTGCTTCAAGCAACTTCTTCCTCTAAATTTGTGGGCTGTAGGCGATCCAGACACTTCCTGCTCTTTCGGAGTCCCCGGGCAGCAGTGTGTTCTGTCTTCAGCTGTGATACAATTAACTAGATGAGCTCTTAAAATAGGAGATGATTTCTTCGAGTTGTTTGTTCCTGTTAAATTGCCCTTCTTTGGGGAAAATTTAGGAGGATTGTGGTAGTTGTAGAGGAGTTCGTGATAGGATTCCTAATGTAAATTTGTGTTAGGGTAGCAAATGCGGTCAGTCCTGAGGACTCTCACAGGAGTCTCTGTGAAATGCATCCATACAGACATCACATTGCCCAAAGTATCTTTGCCTGATTGAGTACTGTAGCTGGAAATTCAGAAATACTTCAAACTAGAATATTCCACCAAAGCTAGGAACCCTGGAGTCACCCCCCCAAATACTAGCTACCATTGACCATTCAAATGACCATTAAATTTTGCTCATTTGACTTGGATTATTTTTATGGATATATCCCTCTCTGTCGTTTGGTACTTTCTCTGACTCCCTCTGTTTCTACCAACCTCTCCTCTGCTACCCATCCATCTTGCTTCTATTTCCAACCCTGTAGCTGCCACTCTGACACAAGTATTATTAATAAATGTAAATACAATTATGCCATTCATAGACTTATCTGTTTACATATATGTAAATGTCTGAAGTATGTGCTGATTTCCGAATTAATGAGACAAAGACCTCCGCTTTCAAGGAGGAAAAGCACTTGGGGGGTAGCAAGCATTTCAACAAGTGTGAAATGATACTATCAGTACTGTGACAGAGGACATGAGTTACAAAGCTTCATGCAAAAGAGAAGTCAATGTGATTGAGAGAAGAAAAGGTATCAGTCTTCAAAGGAGAAGCCGGACATGGACTGTGTTTGGACAATTAGGTATTCCATTTCAGGTGATCAGAATAGGGGGAATGAGTAATTTTGGCAAAGAAAATAGCTGTAGTGAAAGTGTGGAGGTCGTGGATGTGTCGAAACTGTAAGTACTTTAAATGTCTTGCAGGATAAAGCCATCTTCAAGACAAGGATGGGGTCCATGCACCAAATGGAGCTTATAATGGATACGGAATCTTGTCTTTGTCCTGTAGGCAGAAGTGGTTAAGGAATGATTGAAAATCAAGAGAATACATTTTAGTTTGGAAAATGAATTGGGAGAGGAAATTTAAAATGGAATCGGTATGGTCTCTAGTTAGAAAGTAACGCTTGTACAGTTTCCATTCTTTACTCCGATTTTCATCAAATTCATCCTGAAAATGTTGGCTCTCTACATGCTGGGCTGCTGGAAAGTGGAGAGATGATTATGTAAGGAACTAAGGGAGTAACTGTGGGGTTAAAAAGAGTGTCCATCAGAAATGTCCCTTTTCCCTAAAAGATTCATTCTTTGAGACTTTTGTACTGTGTATTTTGATCATACACATTCCCGTTTCCCCCCTCCAACTCCTCTCTCGTCTCCTCCCACTTTCCCATTCTAACTTCCCACATCTTGCTTTTTGATAACCCACTGAGTCCAAATTATGTTGCCTGTGTGCCACTGGTGTAGGGCTATCCTTGGTGCATGCACAACCTAAAGAGGGGGTAACACCCCTAAAGAAATCATTTCCTCCCTTACCAGCCATCAGCTGATAATAACTCTGCAGTTAAGGGTGGGGCCTTGAGAATCCATCCACGAGTCATGCTGGAATGTTTAATGGTTTGATTCTGTGCAGGCAACCAAACCTGATGTGAGTTTACGGCAGGCCAATGGTGCAACAGGTTCTCCTAACCACTGGCTCTTGTACTCTGTGCCCTCTTACTTGATATTCCAGAGCTTTGATGGGTAAGAAGAGAGGTGTGATACACACGTCCCATTTAGGGCTGAGTGCTCCAGTCATTTATTTTTTTAAAAAATATTAAAGATACAGAATTGATTGGATGTTTTTACTCATCTGAAGGATCAATGGGGATGATTCCAAACTGTGATTTGGGAATTAGAAGTGTCATCCAGCAGTTTATGTGGTAAACTGTGAAGACCCAAGTTCCCAGAAATGTAAAAAGTTCAGATTTGTTCAAGTAGAATTTCAGATGTTCCTAGTCATTTGGGTGATGATTGTGAGGCATAGGAACAGGGAGACAGCTTCAGTCTTGCCTCGTGGGCTTTAGGTCAGCAAACTCCTACTCTTTCAAGCACATAGAAGTCACA